TATATATATATATATATATATATATGTATATATATTTCTGAAGTGAGAGGGGAAATGATATGTGTTTATAAGATGAAATTATTTCTATTTTACGTTTGTACCACTCCCAGGTCATTTCTTTCTATATATTTTTTTGTTGTATTTCAGCATTGGCTGGCTTTAGATGAGGTTAGATTAGAAGATTAGATGTGGTTAGACCAGCGGACATAATGGAAAACTGTGGTAACCTGTGACCTGTGTCAGGATGGTCTGACCTTTGACCTTTCCCCTGCATCTAATGAAGGGGACATTGGAGTACTTGACATAGGAGTGAAGGGGTACATGAAGGGTTTAATGAAGCACTTTGCATCAGTTGTTTCCTAAATGAAAGCCAGGATGCAAAATTCACAATGTAGCACCTCTGTATTTATCCATTTTTTGAATTTTTTTTCACTGTTTTAGTTTAGTTTTTAATTGCCTTTTTGCTTTTTTTCTGCAAAGCATGCAGAAAGGACTTCAGGGCTAGATAGGAGTTTGTAACCAACTACAGAGCACAGAGCAGGAGCAGGGGCTTGTGGGATTTGTCATACTCTGCATTTTTTTCCTCAGTGGGCGCCATCGGCAATCCATCTTTGGAGAACCGTCACCGCCAACCGATGCCTCCTTTAGTATGGGCAGGCCTTATTTGGGAGGTAGTTCTAAATATTGATATAAAGAAGAACACAATATATTTTTAAGGGTTTTGTTTTGTTATTCTAAAGAATGTGCAAGGTTGCTCGATCTTGTACAGGACTGCAAAATTTTATTTTGTATAACTTCAACAAGAAAGACAAAACTTTGACTTGTAGAAGCTCTTTGTGCCTTTGAATATGGCTGTACCTCAAAATGAAGATAAATTATGTGTGATTGGACTGCGGTGTACAGCTTGATGTCAAATCTTACATGCAGCACAGCGTGCTGATGGCAAATCGCTCTGTAGACTGATTTTTTTTTCTTCTGGTTTATAAAGCTATTTAAAATGTCTTTTACTATAAAATGAAGAAAAATTAGGCAAAAAATCTTGGTATACAATATGCAAAATTAACCACTTTGTTTAGAAACTGCAAATACAGTATGTCTTACAGTTCTTTGAATTTCTGTTTTTGTCGGACGGACTCAGCTTCAAAAAACTTTGGAAATATATCCAAAATTTTGACGTTCTGTTGTTTCAGGTAGGGTGCATTTTTAGAAGTGGCATATATGCAGACTGTACGCGGGGTCGTGCTGGTGAAAGTGTGTAGATATGTGAGATCGAATGCTTGTGTGCATACATTTGCAGATATGCCGCTTTGTACTGTACATGTGCATTCTATGTGTACATATACATTTATAAAAACATGAAAATACATATTCTATAAATATGTATGTACAATTATTCATAATATGTGTGCCTAAATGTATACATATTTATGAATGTTTAGCAAGGTTGTATGCATAGCTATGCATATACAAATGCATAATATTGAAGGAATGAGGAAGTAAGACTAGTGATATATATATATATATAAAATCCCTAGTCTGACCGTCCTGACTGACTGCGCTGGCATTGTGAATGTGAGCACTAATAGTGTGTCTCACAGCTCAAGTGTGTCCATATGTCTCTCTCACTCACCAGTGGGGCAGTTATAAGTCAAAGGAATAGTGCAATGCAATTTTTTTTGTTTGTTTATTAAGCATTTGTACAGAAATAACTTCATGAAAAATCATTTGTGTGTTCAAAAGATAAACCGCATGCAGATTCTAACAGCTTGAGTTTGAGTAAATCTAATTTTCAGGAGAAATAATCCTTTAATACATGAGTGGCTGACTTAAATTTAATACATACACACTTAAGTCCATGCACAATGCCACATAAACTGTTAACTGTTTTGGATCCCTGACTCTATTTCTCAACTGGTGAAGTGCAGGGACAGTGTGTGATGTGACTTAGGCTGTGAGTGGCTGTAACACTGGTAGAAAGGCTTTATTCTCCTTACTATCCTCTGCAGCTTTTATGGTTCATGGTCAAACTTACTTCAGAAACTAAAAATACAAGTGACGATGAAGAAAAATAATTTATTGTTTCTTTTTCATTTAGTAACATTTATTTTAATAATGAGGCACATTAGAAGACCTTGGTCTATGTTTAGAATGGCAATGTGGGAAGAAATGTAATTTTGCAAATAAAATACCTCTAAAAAAATGTTTGCCTTAGTTGTTTTATAATCACAACTTGAAAAGTGGGTTGCTGCTAAAATTTCTTATTTCCAAATGTCTTTTTTTTTTCGTTGGCGAATACTGAACCACTTTTTCAAAACTCTTCTTCCAGTCTGCAATACCAACATAAATCTTGACCAAACAGTTAATCTCACTTCCTAAACTAAAAAAATAAAGTTTGGTATATAATGGTGGTTTGAGTTTAAATTAGTTTTTACAGAAATCTGTATGTCTTTTTCACTTTATTACGCCTTGGTTAATAACCAAAAATTGAGTAACAATTTGGTTGCATGTCTGTGCATATAATAATAATATTGTAAGTTTAAAAAAAAAAGCTGAAATTCCAGGGCTGCAAATATAATGAAATTATTAAATTGCTCATACTGTATGTATGGTACTCTGAGGGTTCTGGTGCTCACTCTCTCTGTCACTCTTCTTTGCCCACCAATTGCTGTTTTTTCAAACAAAAATGTGCTGCAAATATATAAACCTTTTGCAGGTTAAGTATGAAAGACAAAAGAGTTGACTTTTGGGAGATGGTCATTTTATGTAAAAGCAAATTAAAATTATTCACAGTTTTGTCCACACATACTTCTGTTTCACTGACTATGTTAAGACTATGTTTTGAAATTATGACTTCTGTTTGGACCAATCTGTTGTACATCAAAATAATTTATTCAGCATTTTAAACCAGAAAACAAAGACACTGAGAACATCCAAACCAGTAAAATCATTTTCAACATTTTCTTGTTTCTGTGCATTTGAACTCAGGGCTTCCTGTTAAACTTTTGTTATCATTAACAATGATACATTGTTATCATTGGTAACATTGTTACATTGTTATACAAACATAACTCTCACATGCCTTTCGTGCATGTTACAAAGCCTTGTGCTTTCTTAGAAGGCTATTTAGCATATGCAGTGATCTTCTGAACATCTTCATATGGCTGAGTGTTATCAGTGCAATGATCAGACAGCTGCTGCAGTAAAGTGCTAACACGCTCCTCTCCTCTGGCAAAAAACACTTTGACAACCGGAAGTCAGACCTAGAGAATGTGCCCTACAGGGAGTGACAGAATATACAACAACATTAATATTAAATACATTTTAAAAGTTCCTTATACTTTTGACTATAAGCTGAAAGGAAGAAAAAAATACTTTAGAGTTGACATCTTATTTTACAACCTCCTCTAAGGTTTGGTGTGAATATCGAATCTACTTATAATCTTTCATACGTTAGTTAAACACAATGACTGTTCATTTCATGAAACTTAAACTCTTAAAAAATATGTTTGCTGTATTAATTTAATAAAGCAGCTGAATGAAGGATCAGTTAACATTATATTTCACATTCAACTCTTCATGTCAATGAAGTTAACTTAATTTTGTGGCAAGTGTAGCCGTTGTATGAAATGTCCTGTAAATACTTTTCTAAACCCGAGAAAATTTAATCTGCACCATTCTGTGAAATCTGGATCTAATCGAGCTGAAATGAAAAAAAAAAAGATTGTTGCATATAGAACTACATACAGAATAATCAAAAAATTCTCTAAACTAAAACTGAATCTTTGCCACAATTGGACATTGTTTCATCAAAAATTCCTTTATCATTTTCTCAATATACCCAAAGGCAGAAAGGAGTAATGAAGAACAACAATTAGCCTTGGATTTACTCTATACCACAACAAAATTAACAATTCATCTAACTCTCTCATGCTCTTTAAAACATTTTCCTCCCTCCTTTGTCCTCCTCTCCTTCAACTCAACAGCTGACGACTTTGCCACATTATTCATTAATAAAATTACAACCATCAGTGCACAACAGCAAACATACACTCACTCACGTCCTTCTCTCCACTCTCTGAGGCAGAAGTCTCCAAACTCATCCTTTCCAATCATCCTACTAGACATGGTTAACTGCCAGATCCTCTCGTCAACTCTATAGGCAAAGGACATCTAAGGAACTGTACTTCCAGTGGTTCAAGTCTTGCCTCTCAGATATGTCCTTCAAGGTATCTTGGAGGGGTGAGATATCCAAGTCACAAGATCTAGCTACTGGGGTGCCTCATGGCTCAGTCCTTGGACCAATTGTCTTTTCTGTCTACATGGCATCACTAGGTACTGTCATTCAGAAACATGGCTTTGCTATGCTGATGACACTCAACTCTGTCTAACAGACATTTCTTGCTGGATGAAGGACCATCACCATCAACTCAACCTTGCCAAGACAGAACTGCTTGTGGTTTCAGTAAACCCATCACTTCATCACAATTTCACCATCCAGCTAGGCGCATCAACCATAACTCCTTCAAGGACAGCCAGGAACCTTGGAGTTGTGATTGATGATCAGCTCAATTTCACAACCACACTGCTAAAACTGCCCAGTCCTGCAGATTTGCTTTATACAACATTAGGAAGATCAGACAGACCCTTTCTTTTAGAACATGCTAGACGACAACTTGTTCAAGCTCTTGTTCTGTCCAGGCTAAAAACTTATTTCTTATAAAAAATAAATTTAAAAAAACTTGCTTTGTGTGCTGTGTTAGAATCGAGTCTTGTCACACACTTGTCCCATATTATTGTTCTTTTGTTTGAGTTACTGTAGTCTTCAAATCTTGGTACTGTCTTACGTTTTAAAATCACAAAGGGAGTCTGATCCCATCAGGCTAACATGACAGTCACAACTCATGCAGCTGTAAGGTTTTCTTTTTCTTTTGTTTTTACTTTACAACACGCATTACATTATGTATTTCATGGTACACTCGTTTTATGCGTATTTGGCGCCACCTATTGTTGTGGGTGTATTATTGACATGTCAAAGTCTACATTTAGTCATTTAGCAGACGCTTTTATCCAAAGCGACTTACAATTGGGGGATACATAAAGCGATTCTTCTTAAAGAGGCAAACAGACACAAGAAGTGGTTGTAATACCAAGTTCTTAGACATTGTTCAAATAAGTACAAGCTAGAAAGAGAAGGAATAAATAGAGAGATACTTTTTTTTTTTTCTAGACCCTGTCTAGACCCTGAATATAAGACGACCGCGTTTTTTCAGATGTATTTCCAAGAAAAAAACATAGTCTTATATTCGGGTCAATACGGTAAATGTAAATATTATCCTTTCAAGTCTGAAGTAATTTAATACATTTGGTGTATTTGCTACCCAACAATAATGCTTGAGATTGGGGAGTATAATGTCAAACTGGCTCTGCAGAAACTCCTTTTACATATTTGAAATGTTTTGTGCCACATTAAAAAAGAGATCAATATATCTGAGGGGGGAAAAAAAGCTTTACCCACAAGAAAGAACAAATAATCATTTGAAATATCATTTCAAATCATTCAAATTTATTACGTTTCTGGATTTGCTACAATATTTAGCATTCCCTTGCAAATAGCATCCAGTGGACAGGACAACAAAACCCAACATTTCCTCAAAAGGTATTTACTTTTCTTTCTTTCCTTTTTTTTTGGCAACAAAGTTTTCTACGGCTCATCTTATTGCAAATGTGTGCAAACATAATCGTTAAACCTTCTTGTTCACAGTCAAGTTCTGCATCACTTAAGTAAATTCGCACTTTGCACATCTATTTCATTGATGACTCAGTTCTGTTTATGCATGTCCATAGTGAAAAACATTCTCAACAGAATTAACTGAACTAATTCCAAACCATGTAAATGGAAGTAATGGTTGATTTAATGTTTCATAAGGTTTAATGCTTTCTGGAATACTCCCTAGGTGTATCTTGTGAATAATAAAATTTTCTGTTTCTTTAATGCATTTAGCAGGGTGGAACTTTACACTACTTTAGGTTAGTGATGTTTGATTTTTGAGCGAATCGTTCTTTTGAGCCGGTTCTCAGGAAGTAACCGTTCGAGCCGGTTCACAAAATCGAACTGAATCGAACTTTAGTTCTGGGTTGATGACGTACAACGCACAGCTGAAGTAGCATGTCCGACTCAAAAATAATCGAATGAGCCATTTCAACTAACTGTTGAAGTTTGCAGAGAGTTACTGAGGACTCAAAAATAAACTAATTAATTGAATGACTGATTAATTATTGATGTTTATTGGCTGCTACCATACAAGTCATATGGACTTCTTCTTTAATACTTTAATTGTTTTTTGTCTTTCTTGGAGCTCGAAAGCCTCTGGTCATTATATGAAAAAAGTGCAAATGCAATCATTTTACAAAACTCCTCCTCTTGAGTTCCATGGAAGAAAGTAAGACATACAGCTCTGAAACAACACGGGGGTAAACAAAACTCAGGCTTCAATTACCAGGATGAAGCTGGGGTTGTTGCGGTTTCTCCAGCTGAAGGACGGGACACTGATTTCAGGATAGAGGTTTTCATGCAGTACCTCACAGCCATGGTGAGTGTGGCCACTCAGGATTAGGCGGGGCTTGAACCACCACAAGAGCTGTTATTGAAGAAGATTGTCGGCTTTTAATGTTCATATATGTAATGATCTTGGCCTACTCTGGTCAAGAGCTTGTTGATGTAGAGTGTACTCAATACTAAGTCCCTCAAATCAACAGAAATCTTAATCTTTTTTTAAAGAGTTGATGCAATGAACCTCACAAACTTTGTCAAATGCAATGATCAGTTCATTGGTTTACACATGGACTGATATAAACCTGTGCACCCTGACTCCCATAAATTGTATGTCAAACAATCAGATAAAGCATTTGATTTTGAAAAGATTTTTGTGTAGGAAATATGCATCAGATGGTCAATGGACATGCCATCTGAGGCTGAGTGTACAGTGCCCCTTGATTAAGAGTAGCTAGTCCATCCAGTAGCTAATCCAACATCAACATGTCACCATATCCGGCTCACTGACTAAGTTCTAAACACTCGCAAATATTCTCATTGTGACCAACAGTACAGTAAATTGATTCATTGTGTAGTGTATTCAGGTGTAGCATCATAATGTAGCACATTCTTTTTAAAAGTAGCATTGCTTGTGTTTATTGAGCATCTTGTTTTACCTTTTTGGAGGCATTCTTAGATAAAACATCATAACGCTCCTGAAATAGCTGGTACCGATCATCCAGTGGGGCTGCATCTACACCTGTACACATAGCATCACTCACTCTATACAGAGGGTAATGCTGGGATCAATAATACCATTATTACAGTGAAGAATATATTACTGCGATTTCTAAAGCAATGCATTTATAAGAAATACCATAAAATCCTGCCTTTACTTAAACTACATGTGTATGACAAAATGCATTTAGTTACCATGATAAATACAGAAAAACATACACAGTCTCACCTGTAGCAGAACAGGTGCTGTTGGGGCAAAACTCTTTGTGTTCTTGCACTGGCCATAATGCTGTGCACCCTAACAGAGTAATAAGAGTTAAATTTACACAAGATCAACCACAACAGAATCAGCATCACATTAAAATGTAAAAAAAAAAAAAAAAGATCAAGATTTAAAAAAGAAATCAGTGCTAATAATAATAATAATTATTATTATTGTAAATATAGCCGTAAGCAGCAATCAATGGCTCATGTGTGTAATTAGGTGATACAATTGAAATGTGACCCTGGACCCACTGGGGTATATATGTAGCAATAGCCAAAAATACATTGTATGGGTCAAAATTATTGATTTTTCTTTTAGTGAGTGAGTGACGTGTGGCCAAGTATGGTTACCCATACTAGGAATTAGTGCTCTGCATTTAACCCATCCTTAGTGCACACACACAGCAATGAACACACACGCTGTGAGCACACACCCGGAGCAGTGGGCAGCCATTTATGCTGCGGCGCCCGGGGAGCAGTTGGGGGTTCGGTGCCTTTCCCTCAGTCATGGTATTGAAGGTGGAGAGAGTGCTGTACATTCACTCCCCCCACCTACAATCCCTGCCGGTATGAGACTCGAACCTGCAACCTTTGGGTTACGATTTCGACTCTCTAACCATTAGGCCACGACTTCCCCCAAAAATTACGCCAAAAATGATTAGGATATAAAGTAAAGATCATGTTCCATGAAGATATTTTGTAAATTTCCTACTGTAAATATATTAAAACTTAATTTTTGATTAGTAATATGCATTGCTAAGAACTTCATTTGGACTACTTTAAAGGCGATTTTCTTAATATTTTGATTTTTTTTTGCACCCTCAGATTCCAGATTTTCAAATAGTAGTATCTCAGTCAAATATTGTCCTATCCTAACAAACCATACATCAATGGAAAGCTTATTTATTCAGCTTTGACCCTTATGACCCTTATGGTTTTGTGGTCCAGGATCACATGAGATAATGTTCTTGTTAATGTTTACTAATGAACTTACTAAACATTACCTAATGATTAACATATGATTATTTAATGTAAATTGAAATGCTTACAAATGTTAGTAAACTTTCAGTTTAATTTGTTGGTCTTTGTTGTGTAGACCTCTATTTACACATCTTAAATAATCTATAAAATATTTATTCTATATATTATTTATTCATGTTTTTGCAGTACCCAATCTAAAGTGGAAACTATTCATCATTTGCAAATGTTTATAAATGTTTACTAATCATTAATACCTTTATGAACAGTCATCTCAATGGCAAAAAGTGTCCCGAAAGACCCAAATTTACCCTTTTCACACATCTTTACTAATCATTTATTAATCATTTGTTCATGTTTTTGCAGTAGCAAAAGTTGAAACTATTCATTATTTGTAAATGTTTATAAATGTTTACTAATCATTAATACCTTTATGAACAGTCATCTCAATGGCAAAAAGTGTCCCGAAAGACCCAAATTTACCCTTTTCACACATCTTTACTAATCATTTATTAATCATTTGTTCATGTTTTTGCAGTAGCAAAAGTTGAAACTATTCATTATTTGTAAATGTTTATAAATGTTTACTAATCATTAATACCTTTATGAACAGTCATCTCAATGGCAAAAAGTGTCCCGAAAGACCCAAATTTACCCTTTTCACACATCTTTACTAATCATTTATTAATCATTTGTTCATGTTTTTGCAGTAGCAAAAGTTGAAACTATTCATTATTTGTAAATGTTTATAAATGATTACTAATCATTTAGCATCTTTATGGGCCTTGGACTTATGTAACAAGGTTTGTGTAAAGGGTGGCTGGTTATGTTTAGCTAAATGCTTGCTAAAGACATGACATATAATTGTAATTTTGGTGCAAAAACGTTTTTTATTGCCTCAATACTCACATTAGTATACTACTCTTCAGTATATCATTAAACAGGATAGCTATTCCTTGAATTATAAATAAACAGGGGGAAATATAATTTTTAAAGAAAATACTTGTTCATTTATCAAAACAATATAATATAAACAGATTGAACCGTGTTCCCTTATAATAATCAAATTGACCCCTGTACACTGTTGACCAACCTACCCTTAAACCTATCCATACCACCCACCCTGTCCCTAAGCTTACCCATATCACACCTCAATAGCAGCTAATGTGTTGTGCATTAACACAAGCTTTTAATCATTTTATAACATCTGTTAAAATCATTTGTAGATTTTCAATAAGTGCTTGATCATATGGAATTGAAAGTTTAATGACATTTGTATTTTAACTTGCATGAAATAATGATTTGTGTTAAGACTCGTCCACGCCCTCCTAAAACGCCTCGTTTAAACACGCCCCCACATGTCTACGTCACTATGTGGGAAGATTTGCATAACGCCGCCCAAATGTTCACGCAAAGAAAGAAGGCGTAACTTTTATTCTCGCTGTAGTATTGTTGATGCCACCACCATGTCGTGAAGGCGCTGTGTGTTTCGTTGTGAAAGCGAAACTTCTTTGTTTGGCCTTCCAAAAGAGGATGATATCTGCTTCGTCATGCCTAGAGCTGATTTCTGAGGAAGAAATCAGCTCTAGGTCGCTGAAATCAGCTGGTCGCTGAGGAAATACATCAACTTCGTGCTGTGGATCGCCGGATCGGCT